CCGAGCCCACCTTCTGTTCTGATGAACCTGGGCTGTGGCTTGAGGGCCCAAGCTTTGACCCTTTTCTGGATCAGGTTGAAGGAGCCCCAGCCCTCATTCTGCAGCTTGTGTGGGAGCTGCAGCTGCTGGGCCTGGATCACATGGTGGCCCAGGAGGTGGGAGAAGCCCAGGGGGAGCCCCACTGGCTACCAGTCCCAGCTCGGAGCTGGGGCTGGGGGTGGGTCTGGTCCCAGGTCCCAGGTGTAGGAAGCTGTGAGCACCCTCTTAACAACACGTTCCTCACTCTTTGACCCCACATTAAAGGTGGCTCGCAAGTCCTTGCTGACCTGCGGGACCTGGCCATCTGCCCTGATCTTTGTCCTTCTCAGGCCCTGATTACTATGTGTAGCCACAGTGTCTCTCCGTGTGGGTGGGTGAGGGGTCCCTCTGCCCAGTGGGGTGTCTTGCCTCCTTTCCTGCCACTGGTGGCCTGAGAGTGTCCAGGCTCCCTGCCTGAGACCCAGCCTCCCCTGCTGTCCTCCCTCACACCCCTCATTTCCTTGTTCTAGATGCTCTGCGCTTTTTCTCCACTTGGATCAGAAATAGCTGGGGTGCGGGTCTTGGGCCTCCCTTGGGTGCCTGGCCCGCTCCCCACAGCGCTTCTTGGTCTCCCTTTGCTTGTCAACCTGTGTACATGCCAGTGCAGGAAATAAAGGACCTCTGTGCTAATGTGGCCTGGCCTCCAGCTGCCTTTCTTGGGGAGTGTATGCATGCATGTGCACATCGGTGCACTCTGCAGTCCACAGACGCTGAGCAGCTGACACTCAATAGCAGTCTGATACTGAGTGACTTGCCAGGGACTTAATTGCGTCAGCAGCCGTGTGGGGTGGTGGGTGATATGATGAGCATTTGTCAAATGGTGAAACTGAGGCCCAGGCAGGCTGAGTGACCCTGCTAATGGTCTAACAGCTGGTATGGAGCTGTGATTCAAACACATGTCCTCGGGGCCCATACAGCTCTTTCCTGAGCCTTTCTGCCCCAGGGACTCTGACCTTCACTGTGAAGGGTAAAGCAGGAGGGAGAGTTACCCACGGTCTTAGGTTGAGTTTCCCCTGGAGGCCAACCTGGAACAGGGTTTGAGAACAAGTACAGCTGGCTCTCTACATCTGAGGGTTCTGCTTCTGTGGATTCAACCAACCACAGGTCCAAAATATTTGAAATAAAAAATAAAATAAAAAATATAATGATGCAACATAATCAAATATAGACAATACAGCATAATAAGCATTTACATGGTATTAGGTATTATAAGTGATCTAGGGATGCTTTAAAGTGCTCAGGAGGATGTGCATGGGTTACATACAAAATACTATACCATTTTATATCAGAGACTTGAGCATCCATGACTTACATTATCCAAGGAGGGTTTTGGAACCAATACTGCGGGATGACTAATTTATCTGGAAGGTGATCCCAGGAAGCACTCCTTTAGGGGGAGTGGGGAAGTGAGAATAGAAGGAAGCTAGTGAAAGGGAGTTTTAGGCAACTGGGGCTCAGACCCACCAGTGAGCTCTGGGAGAAAGTGTAGCTCTTTACAACTCACAGTATGGTCTGTGGACCAAGATCATTACTCAGAAATGCAGGATCTTAGGTCCCAACCCCGACCTATGGAACTGGAATCTGCTTGTTACCACGGTGCCCAGGTAACTCACCTGCATCTTATAGTTTGAGACACAAGTCTCAGTTATCCCACCTGAGGGGTGGGGAAGCTGGGTCATGAATCTTCCAACTCTTATTTGGCATTGGCTGAGGGCTACTCCAGTGGCATTGACTCATTGGTACTTCTGGCTGTTCAGTGGCAGAGGACAAGCATTTGGACTGAGCAGGACAAGGTCAGCACATGCAGCAGTGGTGAGTTCTGAGGACACGGGCAGCACGGGCCCTGTCTGCTGTAGTCTACCCCTTGTGGCATGTGACAGGGACAAGATTTAGATGCACTCAGGCTCCACATGGCGCTCCCTCTGGCCTGGCATTGCTTCTCTAGGGTGATGGCTGGTCACAGTAACTTAACAAAAGACAGCTATGGATTGCTTGAGCTCAGGAGTTCAAGACCAGCCTGAGCAAGAGTGCCACCCCTGTGCCGGGCGTGGTGGCTCACGCCTATAATCCTAGCACTCAGGGATTGCCTGAGCTCATGAGCTCATGAGTTCAAGACCATCCGGAGCCAGAGCAAGACCTCGTCTCTCAAAAATCTCTAGGCATTATGGTGGGTGCCTGTAGTCCCAGCTACTTGGAAGGCTGAAGCGAGAGGCTCACTTGAGCCCAAGAGTTTGAGGTAGCTGTGAGTTATGATGTCATGGCACTCTACTGAGGGCAAAAAACAAGAACCCCTTATGGCTTAAGGCCTTCTGATTGCCACCTTTTTTTTTTCTTTAGAGATAGAGTCTCACTTTGTCACCCTTGGTAGAGCACTGTGACATCATAGCTCACAGCAACCTCCAGCTCTTGGGCTTAAGTGATTCTCTTGCCACAGCCTCCCAAGTAGCTGGGACTACAGGTGCCCACCACAATGCCTGGCTATTTTTTTTTTTTTTTT